CTAGTCTTGCGCTACTGTCGCTATCGTCTTTGATGACTCGGTAACACTGCCCTGTTATCGCCTCTATTCTCATCTATATCCGATAACTCTCAAAAACAACTCAATACCACTGTCCCAATGCCACGTCCTCACTTCGCACATATGCACGAACTTCAACACTAGCATCAAATATATCGGCCTGCTTAAAGAGAATTCGATAGTGAATGCTGCTGTCTGATGATCCCACCGATGCATGAAACTTTAAGTTAATTAATTACAGCTAACACAGCCGTTCGCCTCTGTTGTGTGTGTAATATTGACTTTATAGTACACACATGTGAAAGAAAAATCAAAAGCGTTTCTGCAATAACTCTGAGTTTCACTGGTTAAACCGTTAATCAGACAGCAACTTAACTACACTGCTCTGAAGATATGATTGATATAGGTTGCTGCAGGCTTGCAGCATGGCACTAGTGGACGAAACGGGCCAAAAGTGTGATATAAAAATGATTGCGTGAGTTGAGTGATGTGTTTTTCGCTGCTCCATTCTTGGGTACCGGCCAGTACTGTGTACTATCTTGATTCATGTCATCAGCCAGTACTGATACATGTATTGGTCTTCCTGCTTGCTGCATGTTCTCAATTCTAACTAAGGGGTGGTAATGTTTTGTGTGTACTATTCTGCACCCGTCTACCCGAGGTCCGCATGGGCAGCACGGGTACCCGACTACCCGTGCACACCACTAGATATTTGCATTGCACAGACATGCGTGCCTTCATTCAGTTTTCACCCCCACAATGATCAGAAGTACATACCACAACTCAGTCCACTTTTATAAAAAATATTACTCAATTGAACCATGGGAAAGCAACAGAAATATATATGCCAGAATACATTTTTACGTGTAGAGAGAGAGAGGGTGGAAGAGAGAAATAGAGACAGAGAGGGAGAGAGAGAGAGAGACCGAGAGACAGACTGACAGACAGACAGAAAGAGACAGAGACAGAGAGAGAAAGAGGGAGAGAGAGATGGAGAGAGAGAGAGAAAATGAGAGAAAGGAAGAGAGAGACAGAGATAAAAGAGAGAGAGAGATAAAGAGAGAGAGGGCGAGAGATATAGAGTCGATGAGAGGGTTAGAGAGACAGACACAGAGACGGAGACAGAGAGCAAGAAAGACACACAGAGAGCCTCGGGCAGAGATTGATTGATAGAGACAGAGATAGAAAGAGAGCTAGAAAGGATGCGAGCGAAAGAGAGAGTGAGAGGCAGAGAAAGAGAGATCGAGAGAAAGCGATATGGCAAGAGAATTTGAGAGAAAGTGAGAGTTAGACGGAGAGAGAAAGGGTGACTCTGATAAAGAGATGTGTTTTATTTCGAAATACAAGAGAAAGGCAGACGTAGGAGGCCAACATCTTACAGCGTAAGACGGGAAGTGTGAGTGTTTTGATGAAATTCAGCGATGAATACAAATAAAGCTGCTGTGGGGGGGGGGCAGAAAACTTTCTTTAGAGCATGATATTGTTTGGGAATTAGTGATTTGTGCACATAATATGAGCAGCAAAACGTTCCCTTAACATAATTTCGCTTAAACGTGCGGGAGATGGTTTCTATTCCAGGAACATTGCTTCTCGAAGAGTCATTGAGCCAAAAAGTGCTACTGGGCTCTTGAAGACAGCAATGCAATATATTTATAAGGCGATGTTTATACTGCTGTACATTCTAGCAATACGGATAGATACATAGAGGCCGGATTTCCAGATTCATGTGCAGAGCCACACTCGCAGGGACCTAAATATAATAATATTATAATATCTGCCCCAATCAAACCATCTAACGATCCTGTGTAACAGTCTCCACACTGGATGGCATGCCATCATCCCTTAGAGATCCACACAGATAGATATGTACTGAATAATGAGATGTAGTTGGCTGATAGTCCTGACAATGTGAAACTCGGAGTTTCAACACAGTTTTCTTCCTCTCTCGCTCCATCTCTCTTCTGTTGATAGAAAATGGCTATTAGATATACAGACAAATAGAAGAATAGATAGGCAGGTAGATACATAGATATATAGATAGATAGATGATAGATAGATAGATAGATAGACAGTTGTCTAAGAGATAGATAGATAGATAGATAGACTGATAAACAGATAGATAGATAGATAGATAGATAGATAGATAGATAGATAGATAGATAGATAGATAGATAGATAGATAGATAGATAGATAGATAGATAGATAGATAGATAGATAGATAGATAGACTGATAAACAGATAGATAGATAGTTAGATAGATAGATAGATAGAAAGATGGATGGATAGATAGATAGATAGATAGATAGATAGATAGATAGATAGATAGATAGATAGATAGATAGATAGATAGATAGATAGATAGATAGATAGATAGATAGATAGATAGATAGAAAGGTAGGCAGGCAGGTGGATAGATAGAAAGATAGATAGGTAGATAGATAGATAGATAGATAGATAGATAGATAGATAGATAGATAGATAGATAGATAGATAGATAGATAGATAGATAGATAGATACGTCACTTAACGGAAATATGGATGTGTTGAGAGATAGATATTTTAGTTAGACAGATAGAAAAGATGTAGACAAACAGACAGACAGACAAAGAGGCAGACAGACACACAAAGAGAGGCTGAGTGCTTGAACTATAGAAAGAAAATCAGACGGACCTTTAGACAGCCAGTTAGGCAGAGAGGCAGATGGATAGATGGAGAAATAAATGCATGGATGGATTGTTGTTTGTGGATTGCTCAATAGCCATGACACTACACGTTAAAACATAATTCAGTGAAGTATTAATGCCAACTTGCGTAGATAGACAGATAGATAGATAGATAGATAAATATACAGCCAAACGTGAAAGAGAAAGAGTGCCAGTTTGGATTCGGCGTAACTCAAGGTTTCACGCTACTGCACTCATTTAACGACTGAAACTGAAGGGTGTGAAATGCTCTGCACATTATGCATCGAGTTCTTTACAGTGTATTTCGGAAACATTTTCCTGTGAAGATAGACAGAGAGCTAGATAGAGAGGGGAAAGAGGGGTGAGGTAGAGATGAGAAACCTAAGAAGTGAGAAGAGATGTAGAGATTGCGGGAAGCCTTGGTAGTGGAGGGGTGCTGTAGAAGAAGCACGAGACTGACGAAGGGTAAGTGAGGGACAAAGTGAGGCTGCCTTAAAAAGGGAAGAGTGATAGTGTGGGAGACATGCAAGTGAGGGTACGTTTGATCCTGTATAAATCACGAAACTGAAACCACACAGCAGTTAAAAGCAAATGAAGTGGAATAACTGTAAATGCCCCGGGCTTTGTTTGTATTGTCTGAGAGAAAGAAGTAGATAGGCAGTGAGAGAGAGAGGAAGAAAAGGAAAATGATGAAGTGAGAGATAGAGAGGAGAGGCAGAGGGAGATTGGAACAGAGGGTGGCAGAGGGACCCGTGTGGTGCGCTGATCCTCCGGAACAGTCTGAGGACGAGTCCAATTATGTTGCACGCCAAAGGTTCGTTTGATGTGCTCATCATCCGACGGTGAATGTTACACCAGTTTATGTTCGGCGCTCGTCACAAGCTCTGAGGATATCGCCACCATATTCTCCTCAAGGAATAGGGGTGCTAGGGTGAATAGTTCTACCAAACTGAAGTAAATGGCGATCATTGTAATGATCAAAGCGGATGGACGAATGCAAGAAAAGGATGAGAGCTCTAGGTGATGTTGACTCAATTATTAATACTCAACACGTCGATAGGTCACGGCAGTTGGGACGTTGAAGATTCGCGATTGTGTACGAGCATAGGGCCAGCTGCCGAGATGTCTGCACATCTAACATCACCAGCATTCTGAATGGGCAAAAAAACTCGCATATACACAACATTAAACAAACATATGATCACTAAACACGCAACAATCAGCATGAATTTATGGGTCTAAACCTCAGTATGGGTTTCGCAATGCATACAATCTGCTTTGCAGTCCAGTTGTTACCTTGCATTGCGTTATGAATTTGTTCCTATTTTATATCACGAATTCAAACAGGCAATTCGTGATCCACAGGTCCTCAAAAATTTGTCCGGGAAAAATTAAAAATGACTTTCACGGTTGGTGTGACACTCGGCTAGACGCCGTGTTTTTAGCTGCCATAATAACGCTACAACCATCTAGGATCAATGCGAAGATGCAGCTTCTTAGCGGTCGGGGGAAAGCAGGGGGAGTAATGCAAACGGAAGACATGAACGCTGATTTAAGTATCATCCATACCAACATTACCATTCTGGCCTGGTCGGCCAGGTTCAATTGCAGGTCCACCAGCACCCCCGTTTCCCTGGTCACCACCTGTACCACCTTCACCAGTGTTAGCATCACCACCATCACCACCTGCTCCACCAAGTCCTCCAGGAACCCGAAATTCACCTATTCCGCCATCACCACCATTTCCACCGTTACCTCCATTGAGACCATTTCCACCATCTCCTCCATCTCCCCCGGTGCCTCCTGGAAAAACACCATTTAAAATTATTCCTGTACCACCGATCCCTCCTAGACCACCATCACCACCATTAGCACCATTAGATCCATGTCCACCATTTCCACCATCTCCTCCTCTTCCACTAGGCTGGCCTTCGTTAGGAATGCCCCCATCACCACCATTTCCACCATTTCCAGCTCTCTCTCCACCTATTGATGCACCCCCTGCCCCACCACGGCCACCATTATACTGGAAACCGCCAGTTACGGTCACTCTGAGTCCTTCGCTGCTTACACTGCCCCCAGTACCCCCATCACCACCATTAGCACCAGTGGATTGACCACCATTCCCACCCGCACCACCGTTACCACCAGCCGCACGCCCAAATGATCCTGCTCTTGATCCAGCACCTCCGTGTCCTCCACGACCTCCTTCGCTCCCAGAATTGCCGAGTCCACCGGCACCACCGCTTCCGCCATTATTACCGGCACCTCCCGTTCCATTTGGGCTAAAGCCTCCAATGCCAGCATTGCCACCAAGCCCTCCATTCCCAGCATTGCGACCTCCGCTCGAGGCACCACCAACACCACCTTGGCCACCAGAACCACCCCTACCCCCTGTGAAAGAACCTTCAGTACCACCACCGACACCACCGTTTCCAGCTCCACCACCATCACCACCAATACCGTCGATACCTACTCCGCCATTCCCACCATCACCACCATCTCCTGCGTCTTGTCCATCTTCACCGTCTTCGTTATCTTCACCGTCACCACCTCTTCCTCCTTGGCCTCCAACACCACCATTTAATCCATCTCCACCATCACCTCCACGGCCACCAGGACCACCATTTCCTCCATCTCCACCATTTCCACCAACACCCCCATTGCCTCCTTCACCTCCATCACCGCCTTCACCTCCATCGCCACCTCTACCGCCGTCCCCACCAGGCCCACCTGAGCCACCTCGACCTCCATTTGCACCTATTCCACCAGCTCCACCGTCTCCCCCGTGTCCACCAGAACCAGACTGCGCGCCTCCGGAGCCTCCACTACCACCATTTCCACCATCGCGTCCAGGACATCCATCAGCACCACGACCACCATTTCCACCATTTCCATTGGAAGAGACATCTCCACCATCACCACCAGCACCACCAGCACCAGCCAAGAAACACACACCACCATCACCTCCATCACCACCAGTGCCATTCACTGCAAGACCTCCATTTCCTCCACGTCCTCCAGTGCCACCCATTCCAGAAGTTCCTCCATCTCCACCTCTTCCACCCAATCCGTTTATGGTTCCACCTCCATCACCACCATTGCCACCATCCCCACCAGGGCATCCATCGGCACCACGACCACCAATTCCGCCATTTCCGTCTCCTATCACTTCACCACCTGTTCCACCATCACCCCCCGTACCACCATCTATACAAATACCACCATTGCCAGCGTTTCCACCATTACCATCCCGTGCTGGACCGCCATTTCCTCCCCGTCCACCAATAGCACCAGCTCCACCAGGTCCTCCTTGCCCTCCTATACCACCATTACCTCTTAACAGTCCGCCATTACCGCCGCCACCTCCAAAACCTCCATTAGCACCCTCACCGCCACTTCCTCCCATTCCTCCAATGCCACCATCGCCTAAATCTGAAGCCGAGCCGCCATCACCACCTTCGCCCCCAGCAGTCAAAATACCTCCATTACCTCCGCGCCCTCCATTTCCTCCGTTGGATAGTGCATCTGGTGCTCCCGTTCCGCCATTTCCGCCCCTAGCACCTACCAACAAAGTCGAAAGACCTGCACTATCACCAGAATTTCCACCGTTTCCACCATTCCCAGCATTACCCCCAATGCAGCCATTACTTCCCCGACCACCTCTACCTCCAACCCCATTTCCAAATCCATCTCCGCCATTACCACCATCACCAGCAGCTCCTCCAACCAGGCACACACCTCCTCCTCCACCAACAGCGCCGTTCCCATTCTCCCCACCATTGCCTCCTTGTCCTCCCGTACCACCCAAACCACCGATTCCTGCAGTGCCACCCATCCCACCTCTACCTCCCGTCCCATTGTCCCTTCCATTGCCTCCTCTTCCTCCCGTACCCCCGACAGCACCCACACCAGCCGCACCACCCATTCCTCCTATTCCTCCGTTTCCTTGACTTCCTGCGTTACCACCAGCACCGCCGATTCCTCCATCAGCTGCTATACCGCCACTACCACCCAGTCCTCCTTGACCACCGTCACCCCCTACTTCTCCACCCTGCCCTCCTAGTCCACCATTACCTCCGACTGCTAGTCTTCCGCCATTACCTCCAGTTCCTCCTATACCCCCGTTGCTATCAGCTCCGCCTGCTCCCCCATTTCCGCCTTCACCTCCAACCTGCATGGAGATTCCGTTCATGCCAATACCACCATCTCCTCCATTCTGCCCAGGACCACCGTCTCTGCCATTCTCCCCAGCTTGAGCGGGTCCTAAAGTCATTTGGTTGTTACTAGTCCCGTCATTTTGACTTATTGCGTCATCCCCGTCAGAACTGCTACCTCCGTCGTCTTGTGTGCCCGCAATAGGATCAGACTCACTGTCAGAAAAGGATCTAGCTTGCCTGCTACGCTCAATCGTATTACCAGTGACGTCACCATCCGGCGAAATTGTTAATCTAGCGTTGGCTGTATATAATCTTGGATGACCTGCACAGTGGTTTAACACAATAAACAATGTGTTTGACATCGGGATTGACTGCATTCGGCTGCTGCGCCTGTATTATTATATCTAACTCGGGAACTGAGTCAGTGACTATAGATATAAGCTGACAAATCACCTGGAAACGATTTATGATGCAACAGTGCGACTACCCACCAATGAAACAAGGTAAGCAGTAAGGAAATGCTTCCCCTCATCGGTCCTTCCTAAACCGTGAACCTTTCAAGCTGGAAGGCTATTGTATTCGCACTAAGGTGTGTTGGAGTCATGGGTAGTTGCATTATAATGTTTTCCATGTGATCTATTATATTTTAATAGTGGTCTGCTCAGCCAGCCAGCTCGCAGTCGGTGTGACCAAACGAGATTCGCCACCGCAGGAGCATTGCTGTGGAACAGTTTGCCTAGAGAGGTGCGCACCGTATCCAGATTGCAAGATTTTAAGCTAGCCTGCCTTCCTTATGTATGCCTGAAATAGGTTGCGTTTCGTCAGGTTTTGACATGTTCCTTTCTTCTCAGTATTCTCGCTCGCATAGTACTCCACTTAAAATAGCATATTATCTCTAAGAAGAAGCGAGGACTAAGTAACCACAATTTGTGCTATATTGTCCACTAAAACCACCATTACTTTTCAATCGGCTTATGCGATAAGATTGGACGACACTGACGCACAGCATTCGTCGTTCATAAGCCATAAAATCTGCTTCGCGTTGGCGAAGCTCGAACGTGAACCGGAGCGGCCAAGAATTGAATTGATCGTCTAACAACACAACATTCCTTTTATATTTAGAATTGTGCTAAGTGGAATTCTCACCCATTGTTAGTAACATAATAATCATTTTTATATGTAGAAAGGAAAAGACACTATGTATACGAGTTCAGAGTAACTCTCCATCACTGTAACATGATACGTTATACAGTCAGAAATTAAACTCGTATCCATAGTGTTATTTTCCTTTCTACAAGTACATTTATTTATGGCTCAACATCCGAGTTTCAATTAAAATAATAATGTTTATCTTCAGGAATAAGCAAAGGCTAACGGTGATTCTTCCATCTACGCCTAAGTATGTTACCTTCTATATTTTTCATGTATCGTGCCCGGAAAGGTATCAATGATTTGAAGAAAGCAGAGAAGGCTGCGCTGGTAGCTGGTGTTACTGCAGTAATAAATGTTACTAAATAATCTGATCATGTGAACATTCCACGACACTTACCTACTGTACTGATGTTCTACACCTGGTTGGCTATCAACTCTAGCACATCTCGGATGCGCACTCCAACAACCTTCCATCTTGGACGGTCCTAGGTATTTTTCTAACTTTGAACCGTCCAAGCCCGAACACTGGTGCAGTGCGGATCCAAGATATAGTAGAGTTGATTGCCAGGTACCTCGCTCTAACGGTGTTCTTACATGTCCCAAGCGAACAGTAAAATAGTTCCATTTCGTATTCAACATACGTTCTCTGATTTGATTTTAAATTCAAGCAGATCATCATCTGATAACCTTGAACGTTTCCACCTATCTCTGCTCGAGTTGCAGAAGACCCGAGAAAAACGAACTGAATATTTCTTTTCAGTATACATTTACGTTTTGCTCAATTGTTTTTGCTTCCTCTGATTACCAGGCGGTTATGTAACTTCTTTACCGCCAAGACAAGGCTACTCTTACCGTGTAGACTGTTATACGCGGTGCCGGCCACTGGGTTGGAACAGAGCTTGAGCTGCATGCTCATCAAGAGAATCCAGTTTGCGAACATCAGAACTGGGATACGAAAAAGCCTTTGCACCATTGTCCAAGTAGCACTGGGTGTCGACACTGATATTAAAACCTTACAAGCAGACACACGGTGCATTCATTTCCTGTTTATCCGTCACTCAAGTCTTTCTGCAACACTGCGCAATTTCACAAAGGATGTGTCTGCTAATAAAGGACAGCTTGTGGCTATACTTATATCGTCAATGCAGACAGTTCGGCCTTACCTTGCCTTCCAAGTTCTGGTCGTACATTAACTCTTGTAGGTGAGAAGACCATGTAGTTTATTTGCGAGCTGAGGGAGCAGTGCATAGCAATATGCAGAGGAATGTGTGATCTAACTTGTATTTCCGCCGACAGTTAGGTGTTAGCACGCCTTATCAGGCTGGCCATCAATATTTAGCTCTTGCAGGTGAGCAGTAGTTGAATTGCGTGCTGAGGAAGCGGCATGTAGCAATTTGTGGAGGAATGTGTGATCTAACTTGTATTTCCGCGATTTGGACAAGTTGATAGTGATAGGAGATGTTCACTATCTCAGAGCTGTCACAATCATTGCAGTTCACAGAATCTCGTTGGCGTGCAACCTTACTTCTAGGATTGATTATGGACATGATGCATGTACACGCATAAGTGTTTATGAAGACCGTAAGCCATGGGCCAGATTCGACACCTCGAATGGATAGCGACAGCTGACTTGAGAACTTGAGAAGATCAACACACTCCAAGCTTGATTCTTCCTCCCTCCAACACACACACGCACACAAACACACACACACGTGCTGTTATGAAACCACAAAATCCTCAACAGTGAAAGGCCTTCTCGCTTGTGACATTGTGTTCGTGTGAAGGCAGTTGTATCTCGACTCCGCCGTACCCCTGATGTTTGATGACGCTACATGTGCTATGTGCGATTTGCTGTGTGCACTGTAGTTGTATGTTGTATATGTATGTGTATGCTTTTCTCATATACGCTGTCATGTTCACGCTAAACTACTTGGTGGTTAAAGTGTTAGTTATTCATTATTATAAGTTGATCGACGGGAAATATACTGGGAAGAGCACAGTTGTCCTCGTGCCGTGCGGCCCTTCGTTCCTCACTGTTAGAGAACCAGAAGGGTTCACAACACACACACAAACACATTAATTCCCCCCTCCCCCCCCCCCCCCCCCCGACACACGCACTTACAAATCAACTCAATCATGGCTGTCGCACGGCTACTTGGCGCAGATTACATGTTGTAGCGTGAATTGCGTGACTGTCCCTGTACTGTCTTATTTATTCAAACAGTCAACTTTATATCATTCTTCTCCTATATCCCTGATGATACCCTCCTGGATGAAAATTAAAATTTGAACAATCTATTGCACGTAGTGTTTCCAAGTACTGTACGTGTGCCGCGAGTTGGGTGTACTGAAAATATATTGGATTTTGTAATTATTCTATACCGCTTGGTTTTGACGTTTTGCATTAGAATTTGTGGTTTTTCCGAATAAAGCTTTGAGGTAGACAGAGGAATTAGTGTGTACAGCTTAGTGGGGCTGGTATGCAGGGGTGTTGCATATTGATATAGATAGTAATGAATGTGCGGAGGGTTGAGGGCGATGATGATTTCAACCCCGCTCTCTTGTAGGCCTAACATGGGTACAATATTTTGCTGCGTCATAAGTACAGATAAAGACCTTTTATGGAGGCTGCTACATATAGGTGTTGTTACGTCATTGCATCAGTCATCCGGCATTGCTACAGTACACCTCAATTCACCGGCCAGGACGCCTGTTATCTGCCAACGCACAAGAGATAAACCCATGACAGCAAAGGCGTTAGGAGCGTGGTAAGCAACACGGTCCATTGCGTAGATGCTGTCAGTTGACCACGCTCAACAAAGCACTACACGAGGCTAGGTGTGCGGGCAGTAGCCTTTCTCAGTGCTTCTCCGCACAATGCGTACTTCTACCTGACAAGAAGGCTCCAGGAACGTCCCATGTTTCCCATTTCCCACACATGTGGCAAGCTAACACAAAACTGTATAGTACAGAATGGAGGTGTTATGACAAGGAGAAAATGAGGTTCGCAAAAAGGTTGCGGTAAATTTTACA